AGATTGATTTTTTCTAGAATTATGTATGGAATTGATCGTATAGAAATTAACTGTTGCTCATGGTTATCAAAATTGAACACGAACCAGAGTAATAATTGCTAGTTTACTTAAAAACTAGATAAATAATGTATCGGTAAAACGCTGAATAAATTGGTTAAAAATTGAAAAAATAGGTGAAATTGTACGGGTTGAAGAGTCACTTGAATTTTTTTTTAAGAATTAAATGAAATTGTTTTATCTTATAATATTTTTTTTAGTTTAACATAGAAATATATAAACGTAAAGAGAGAAATTTGTTTTCTTTTTTTACTGATAGTGATATTTTTTTTATTATATTTTTGTTTTTTTAATTATTATCGACATCGTTGATTATTTTCTTTCGATATTATCGTTATCTGCTGTTGTTATCTATTATTATCATCACTGTAATTATTCATGAAAATACAATAACATGTAAGAATTACAATATCTTAATTTCGAAAATTAATTTGATGAGTGACAAGTGATTTATCCTTGGTTCCATAACCATGTCATGAAATGATATAAAATATATAAAATTTGAAGATAGATGTAATGAAAATATGATGTAATTCTCCTTAAATGCTTTCAAGTTATATTTAGTTTTTTTCCTATTTATTTTCAAGTTAGCTATAGTTTTTTTCCCTTAATTATTTTTTAAGTTAGGTACAACAATAATTTTTTTTCTAATTACTTTATATTCTAAGTGTTTGATGATATATTTATTTATGTTATTTTATTTTATTTATTTTCAAATCATTCTTATTATTATATAATACTTTTTCAAATAATATTTATATTATATTGAAATTGTTATTATGTTGTGATAAATTTATTTTAAATTTAATATATTATTATATTATTAAAATATTTATTAAACCCGTTCAACTTTGATTTAATTTTCGGTTGAATCTTTCAATCCTAAACAAATATATTGAGTGATTTGATAACCCATCCAATTTTAAGAATATACTAATCTCTTGTATATTTTAAAAATCGAATATGATGTTTAATATAAAATAAGTAAATAAATAAATAATGTTTTAAAACGCAAGACAAAGTTTTGAACAAAATAACTTCACAAATAAATTTCTTGATAAACAAAAACTCTATCATATTACAAGTTTTATGTTTTGTGTGTGATCATCAGTAAAACCGAGAGATAATAAACTCTCCACCAAAGTATTCATATTAAACTCACAATTCTTGTATTTAACTTTTTATTCATTAAATAAAAAACAAATTTTAACCACAATTATATATTATCATTAAAAAAATGTGATATATTTAAAATTAAAATTATTTTTAATGAATTATTTATAATTATTATGTATGTTTAATTTTTTAATAATAATTTATTTATAATCATATCATATGTCTTCTTTGCATTATATGTCTCATTATATATTTTTTCGTGACTTATAATCTCTTATTCTTTTTTCCTTTAGTTTTTTTCCTAAATGATTATTTGTGATATCTAGCTAAAGTTTTGTGGTAAGTTAATATCTTCTCTTTTTTCTTTCACTCTCCTCCTATCTTTTGTTTACAAATCATCTTTATCAAATCTCAAATTAGATGGAAAACAAGTATAAAATGGAGGACAAATACGAGATCGATGACAAGTCAAAGATGAATGACAAATTAAATAAATATTTAGTTAAAATGTATTATGTGTAAGAAATCAATAAAACTTTTTAGATATATTATAGAAGAAAATATTAGAAATTCTTAAATTTATTATACCATACTAAAATTTAATGGAGCAAAATTATAATAAATAACCTAAAAATTTATATTTATAACTGTCATTCTATTAATAAATTATAGAACAATACATAAAATCATAGTTAATTTTATAATTTTTAAGAATTAAGACAGATCTTAAAAACATCATTATATTACTATTTTTAAAAAATCTCCGTAAATTTTTATATTAATAAAATTAATATAATAAATATTTTCAAATAATCTAGTGATAAGATAAGATACCGAATCATATGCATAAAATAATGAGAAATAATCAAATTATATATTTTTTAACTTTTATATTATCATTATTATATTATCAATAAATTTATATTTTATTTAATCATTAAATATTAAATTTATATCAAAGTTTACAAAATTATATCATTCTAATTATTAAACTAATTTTTTATCAAATGGTGAAAAAAATTAAATGATTTATATATAATATATTTTGAAAAGTATATAATAGTTTGGTTTCTAAATATATGATAAAGTATTAAATAATTTAGAATTAATATAAATGTTGTAAATTTATGCAAAATAAACTTTTGATCTAAGTGTAAATTAAAAAAAATATAGATTATTTAAAAATATTAACAATATAATAATTGATAACAAAGTGTATTATTCGTCGTGATATCAAAGATCGTTATCATGTAAGTACAGTTTCGATAATAAAAAGTCATCGTTAAATATTAAATATTAAACATTAAATTAATAATCATGCATGACAACTTTTTCGATTTCCACCTATAGTCTCTGCTTTAAATATTTATATAATGAAATAATAATTCAGCATTATCTTAATTTGTCTTTTATTTATTAAATAAATTTATTATACAATTTTTTATATTTAATATTTCTTATTAAATATTAAATATTTTTTGAAATTTTAATATAATAATAAATTTATTTTCATCCTGTACGCATGGATATGTTAAAAATTTTAAGAAGTAACAGGTAAATTAAGAAAGAAGTTATTATATAAAAATAAGAATGGTTAAAGTTATTTTAAGAGTAATATTAGTAAAAATTATCTCATTTAATAATTATATATTAAATTAAATTAATATAACTATTGAATATTTTAATTTTTAGTTAACAATAATACATCCCAAATTATCTTTCTGTATATAGTCTATATATTAAATATTTAATTAATTACATAACAATGTAGCATTCTCATCTTTATCTTTTATAATTATTAAATAAAATATTTAAAAAATCTTCAATTGTTAACATATTATATTTATTTTTTTCATTTAATGTTTCCTGTATAAAATTATTGAATATTATGCATAAGGCCACCAGTTTTAATAAGTTGAGTTAGATCATTACATGCCATTAACATTGTAGCACAATACTTTTAAATAATTCTGTGCATTTATTAATATTCACTCGTTAAATTAAAATGTTTATTGAGTATATCAAGCTTCTAAACTATGATACAAATTTAAAATAGTTTGATACTTCATCAAATATTTTTTGGAACATATTCATTAAATGTATAAATATTTTTTAAACTAAACTTGATTTTTCTCAATTTTTATATAATAAAATGTTTTTCAAACTGAACTTGTATATGTTTTTGTTTTAATTTGTATATATACTCACATGTAGGATAAAAAAATGATTATTAATTATTCTATTAAAATACAACATTTGTTATATATTTTTAAATAGTTTTAAAATATTCAATAAGTGTATCCCCATACATATATATTACTTTTTAGCAAGTTCTTACTGTAAATAAATATTTTAATTTAATAATTTTCCGTTTAATAAATAAAAAAGAGAAATAGGAAACTATTGAACTGTCATTCAATTAATGTAAATATTTATTGTAGAGATATAAGTGGAAAGACATTTAAGTAAATAAATAAATAATTTGCTGTAGTGATAAGCTCTATTACACTTTGCCAGTATGTTATTTAATGAGACATGGATTTTTTTATATTAATTATATTACGTGTGATTTCATAGAGTATAATATTCAATCATTTTAAATAGAAAATATTAAATAAAAATACATAATATATTTTAACAATATAAAAGTTGTTTAATATATATAATAAATTCAAGATAAACTTTAGAATGTTATATAATTATTCAACTAATATAAATAATTTTGTGTCAGGAACGTCAACTATAAATATTAAATATTTAATGATTGAATTAATTTAATTTAGTTATTGAATAGAATAACTTTATTCAGAATTTTATACTCTTGCCTTCTTAACATATACCCATGTAGGATAAGAAAATTGTTATTATTATTGATATTATGAATATTTATTTAATATTTATAAATAATTAATATTTTTAATAACTGTATTAAGATTTTTCTCGTTTAATTACTTCTAATAAGACACTACTTTATGTAAATACATATTTTTATTTAATGCTTTTGTTTTTAATAAATAACAATATAAATAGGGAAATTTTAAATTATTATTTAATTCGCATATAAATATTTATTGTAGAGACTATAGCTAAAAATGGAAATAAATAAATAAATAAATAAATAATTCATTGAAGTACTATCGTTGCTCTTCACATGCATTGTCACTAGAGTGCCTAATAAGGCATTGAAAATGATTAATAAAATATAAAGTTCTGCTTATTATATCAGTGGCTTTTTATTTTATTTTAACCCTATATAAACTTAATGTGAATAGTTATTTATTTAATATTCTCTACTTGTTTTTTTTATGTTAATTACTTTTTATAATTAAATTAATATGAATATAATTATTTTAAAAAAAGCACATTGATTAAGAAATTAATAAATTGACGCTTTTAAAACTACATAGAGTTGCATTGAAAATGAATGGGACAATATTCAATAAATAAGAATTTTGATTTTTAATCTCTTAATAGTATTTTAAAAGCACTAGTTAGTATTTCCAACTTAAAAAATATTAATTTATGCAATTAATGTGTATAAACGTTTTTCTCATATAAAAATGACCATGTGTCTGAAATATTCATGTTATGCTTTCTGCTAGTTCTTGTCCTAAACCATGTTCATGAATTTCAACAACATTAGCTTCGAAGCCGTTGATTTCAACTGTGGACAGCATCCTCACCAAAATGGCTTTGCATGCAAATTATGCAGCCATGTTTTCCCAAACTTCCAAGCATTCATAGTCCACACAGAGTCTCATTTTCCTCACCAAAACTCTATTATGAGAAGCCTGTATTCACCAAACCATATAACCTCTCAAAGGGAAATGATTCCCAACCCTCTGCAACCTAATTTTCCTAGGCCAATGATGATGCAGGAAACAAGAAACTTTGTTAACAACATAGTTTTCCAGACATCACCACAACAACCTCTGTTGATGCCTAGACCGAGAACAAACTCATTTCCTCATGCTAGGCGACAAGTGAGTGCTGCTTCACAATCGTTTCATGGTCCACCACAAGCTTTGTCATTTGACACCACCGATATGACATTGTTTCCTTCTCCATTAATCCACCAACGAGAGATGAAGACTTCTCCAATTGATGGAACTAAGCCATACATCAACTTGCTAGATAAACCCATAAACAATAATGGATTTTTTAATTGGGTTATCATTAGTGGTGATTCATTGGATCTTTCTTTAAGACTTTAGAGCTTTAAGAATTCTTTTTTTATGTTGGTGGTTGTGAAAACTGCTACATCAAATATATTTAGCTTAAAATAAAGGTGTATCTTCAATTATGAATTTATGAATTAGTATCTGTATGTCTATTCATGTATTAGAGTTATTTTGTGTTGATTCTCGTTTTAACTTCAAGAAATTATAGTGAATGAGAAAAGCTCATAATTGAATAAAAATGTCAGTTTCAGATTTCATTATATGAATTTACCATGTTCAATTTTCCTTTCGCTAAATCTAAAATTTCGCTTTTATTCAAGGTTTAAATTAAATTTTACAATAATTAAGGTGTGGTTACATAAGTATAAACAAATACAGCTGTTTTTTAACAAGTGTAAGTGGCCTTTATTTTTCTAAATGTTTTTTGTATTTTTAAAAATATGAAAGCGAAATTGTTTATCTTTATATTTGTTAGAAAGTTATAAAAAATAATTCGCAGACATATTTTATTTTCAGGAAAATTGCCTTGCCTTATTTATATAAATTTTATTCTTGCAACAAAGAGACGAGTAAGTTATATTTTTATGGAAATAAGGAAACTTATTTTTTAATCTTTATTATAATTTCATTCTTTTATTTTTTTTAATTAATTTAAAAAATATTCTTCGGAATATGAAAATTTAACCAAACATATTTTAAAACTTACCTACGACTTATATATTTTCCATTACAATATTTCTGTAACTTACGTTTCAAAAAATATAAAACCATTAGTTAAAACAAACCGCCCAATGTTAAACATTTTAGCCAAATATTTTTCAAATTGAAAAAAAAAACATTAGTGTAATACCAATAAGTAGAACATTTGCTTATTAATATAAGGTGAATAAAATATATTTGTATTTTGATTTAATTAAAATTAAATGTATAGATAAAGAAGAAGAAAAATAGATACTGTATGCATATTATTGAAGAGTTGATACATAGATTAAGAATTATTTGTAGAGGAAATTTATTTAACTTTTAACGAAGTTTTAAGTTAAAATAATTATAAGAATTAAAAACATTTTTATAAGTATAAAATTATGATTATTACTCTTAGTTGCAGTAGTAAAATCATTACTGGAAGCCTACACTGATGTTAACAAAATAAAAGATTTAGTTAGTTTATTAATATTTAAAATAGAATATGAACTTTAAATTACTCAAAATTTTAGTATTTAGAGTTTAGATTTATGATTGAATTTAACTCGGGTAGGGGAACAAGGAGTAGGTAAGAACAGATTACAAAGGGAGAGAAAAGAAGATAGAAAAAGCCAGAGTAGTCCGTGAGAGAGAAAGAAAAATTACAAATAAATAATAAACAAGAAAGAGTGTAAAATTAAGTAAAAAAAATATATTCTTATTTGATATATCACTCAAAAGGCAAGAAACAAATGGGAGAAATATTCTTGTTTTAAATTTAAAATAAAACTGTTTAATTATAAATGTTCAGTGTATGTTAAATATTTTATAAATGTTCAGTGTATGTTAAATATTTTATAAATTAAAATTCCACACACTGGTCTACTGTTCCTCGATCTCTGAACACAAGGATCTTGAGAAATAGTTGTCAGCACAAAACTTCAAAATATTAGTGAGATACGGATCCCCCTCCCCCATTTTTTTTTTTTTACTTTAGGAGAAGAAAATATTTCAAAGATGAAACCATGATTTATTCAATGATTTCCGGTACAAATGTGTAAGAGGAGGAAGAGGGGGATGTTGACATTGATCAGGAGAGCCATGGATGCAGTAACAAAGGTGACACTGTTCACTGTCATGCTCTTTTGGAACTCTGTAGTAGTAGAATGCAATCACCCTCGCCCACTTGACCCTTCTACCCCATTCTGAGCTAAACCTTGTCCGAACCATAGTTCAAAATGCATACCCAACCTCACACACCGTTAATAACAATCTCACCTTCAACTACGTAGGTTTATACGAACCCGACAAGATCCAAGCACGCACACATAATCACAAATCAACGTGAATATCATGTTAGAAAATACACTGCTGAGTAAGATCGAAAAAGTTCGATAACTCATTTATATATTGTGAAGTTAGAACTTTTCTAAATTAGTACATTTAGTAATAATCCACAGCAACATATAAGGAAGTATGATCCATAACATAATATCTTAAGGTTTTAGGTTAAGAGTGGTATTAATCCTTACATGGGTTGGACTCATGTTTCATTGGTGTATTTCTTCCAATAAATTCTCCTCGAAAGACCCAACAAGTGATATTAGAGCCGAAGATTGATCAACAGTGGAACAAAGTGATTTTTTGTATCAAAAATCTTCCTGACAAAGTGAGTTAGGTAAGTGTATCTCATTAGAGTGAACGACAGTATTTGGAAGGACCTCTAGTGTATTTCAATGGATGAATCAATATAGAAGAATTCACACTTGAGGGGGAGATTGTTAAGAAATATAAGTGTGAATAAGAATGAGAAAGTTGAGGAACATATAAGGAAATATAACTCATATCCTAATGTGTTAAGATTTTGGGTTGATAGTCATGTCAATCCTTATGTGGGTTGGACTCATGTCTTATTTGTGCATTTCTCCCCAGTAAATTTTTTTCGAAAGACCCAACAAATGGTATCAAAGTCGAAAGTTGATCGACAGTAGATAAAAGTGATATTTGTATTGAAAGTCTTCCTGAGTGGTTCTGGTTGGTAAGCGTATCCAGTTATAATGAACGACGATACATGAAAGGATCACTAGTGTGTTCGAGATGATGTATCAATGTGGAAGAATTAACATATAAGAAAGTATGATTAATAACCTAAAACCTTAAGGTTTTTGGTTGAGACTGATATCAATCCCTTATATGAATTGAACTCATGTCTCATTGATGTTGTTCTCTCTTATGAATCTCCTCGAAATACCTTATATGAAACACTCATAATTATTAAATTTATTGATGTCATTCTCAATTTATTTTCTAATAAAAAGTAATAAATATTAAATTTAGTTTTTATTTCAATTTAAATTATAATTTTTTAAAATTTAAAGTATCTGATTATTGTTTTGAAAATATTTTAAAGCTTTTGAAAGTGTATTATTATTATTTATATATATGGTCAAATATATTATTTAGATTTTATCGAAATATATATTTATATTTTTTTATATTAATTTAGAGAATTATCCCTCTAAAATTTATCAATCTTAAGTACCTAAGAGAATTTAATTCCGGTCAGTTAAAAATGTCTAAATGTATTCTTGATATTTATACAAGAATTTGTATACAAATATTTTGAATAAATAAATATTGAATTTAAGACTGTATGTACCTATTTATTAATGGAAAAAAAGTATGATAACTTTTTCTAACGAATCAGTTTTCCACAATTTTTATTTGATAATTATTTAAATTATTTATTTTGATTCAATCTTTTTATAATTATAATATTAATAAATAGAGTGGTTTAATTGATATTTTCTTTAAGCCGTTGTATATGTATCATCACGCTTTATTAATTTGGTTAACAGCAAGAAGTAAAAGTAACATTATCATAATAATATTAACCATTTTGTGCATTCAGTTGGGCGAACTGGGATTTTCACGTAGGATTTGACATTAAGGCTGGTCCAATAATTTCTCTAGCTTCAATTTATGATCTCCAACAGCAGAAACGTCGCCGGGTACTGTACAGAGGATTCATATCAGAGTTGTTTGTACCATATCAAGACCCATCTGAGGAATGGTTGACTCTGGTGAATATGGCTGTGGACAATCTATGTCTTCACTCCAACCATTCACTGATTGCCCTCCCAATGCTGCATTCATAGATGCATACTTTGCTGGTTCAGATGGTACTCCTGCAAAGATAGCCAATGCCTTCTGCATATTTGAAAAGTATGCTGGTGATATCATGTGGCGTCACACTGAAATTTCAATCCCATATGAAGTGGTACATTTCTTTATTCTTTTGCATTTTTGCTCTTCTTTATTTTGTTTATCAGTTCATACATATTCATTGTGTTCTTTTGGTAGATAACTGAGGTCAGTTCAGACGTAACCCTAGTGGTTAGAATAGTTTCAACAGTGGGCAACTACGATTATGTTATAGATTGGGAATTTAAGCCAAGTGGAAGCATCAAAATTGGGGTATGATTGAATGCACTAACGTGTAATTAATGTTTTATATGCCATGTATTCAAATGATGATTTCTACATTAGACTTGTGATTACCCAAATAAGCTACATGTTATGTTTTCAAATGGGTTGGACTTTCTGGGATATTAGGGCTTAAGGCAGGGACATACACCCACACAGATCAAATAAAAGAAGACATCTTCGGCACACTGCTAGCAGATAATACCATAGGTGTCTACCATGATCACTTCTTCACCTATTATCTTGACCTCGACATTGATGGTGAAGTCAACTCCTTGGTGAAGTCTAACTTAGAGACAGTGAAAGTGAAAGATGACAACATACGAAGGAAAAGTCGTTGGACAGTTGTAAGTGAAACGGCAAAAACAGAAGCTGATGCGAGGATCAACCTGGGTTTAAAGCCTTCAGAGATACTAGTGGTAAATCCTAATCGAAGGACAAAACAAGGTAACAGAATTGGGTACCGTTTGCTTCCAGGCCCTGTGGCGCACCCATTTTGCTTCATAATGATTATCCACAAATTAGAGGTGCCTTCACCAATTACAATGTATGGGTCACACCATACAACAAATCTGAGAAATGGGTAGGAGGGTCATATGTTGATCGTAGCAGAGGTGATGATACTATTGCTGTTTGGAGTTCCAGGTGAGTTACGTTAGTTGCCACACTAAAATTCTTCCAAACTTTTTCTAAATAATCTAATTTAACTTTTTGAAACAAAGTCTAAGAAATGGTACATATTTCATGTCGTTGAATGTGCAGGGAGGGATAGGGATATAGAGAAGAAGGACATAGTACTGTGGTACATGATGGGATTTCATCATGTTCCTTCCCAAGAAGACTTTCCAGTTATGCCAACATTGAATGGAGGCTTTGAACTAAGGCCAACCAATTTCTTCCAGAGCAACCCTGTCCTTAAAACAAAGTCACCCAAGCCTCTGCATCGGCCAAACTGCACTTTTCAACATTAGTTACAAGCGATGTATTTCATTTGACTGAAACAACCAAACCAAATTTCAAACATTCATGTATTGTTGTAAATGTAGTTTCTTCCTTTTCCACAATTTAGCTAATAAAGAAACAATACATACTATCACTAGAGATAAAATTAAAAAAAAATATTATGAAACTGAAAATATTCTTCGTGTTAAAAATATAAAAATCATCTAAATTATTTTATCTGCATAACAGATGTACTGTATGGGTATTGGTGTTTGGAGAAAACATGGGTGTAAGTTTAATATTTCTCTATTTTTCGGGCACTGACAGCTCTCATCTGCTCCACCATAGGCCATAAATGGGCCTGGCCCAGCGTCTTTATTTAGCACTACTTCCCAACGTTGGGCCCGCTTTCTAACTTTTCTTCTTCTTCTTCTTCTTGTTTGAAATAGCCGCGAACTTAATTCCCAAATATACATTTACAAACTCTTTTACCTTCTTTTACAATTTATTTTCTATTAATTTTATTATTTTATAATATAGGAGTGAGAATTATTTAAGAAAATAATTCCTAAGTTAAACTTAATTTTCTTATTATTGGTAACTTATTTAAGAAATTTCCTGTTAATGATAATCTTCCATAAATTATTGGTATTATTATTATTTATAATATATATATATATATATGTATATAATTTAAAAATTAAATATTAGTACTAACTCATTCACTTTTCTCGTTCAGACTTTGGATTTCCATACGCAGCAAATCAAACCAAGCTCATTCTAATATTCCATTTTGATTTTGAAACTAACGACCATATCACACTATTCAACATCAAAACAACGTAGTTTACATTATATTTTTCTTTTCCTTATTTCGATTTCAAGTGCAAAACAATTAAAATAAATGTAAGGGTTTATTTGATGTTTAGTTTCACACAAAAATATATTACACAAAACTCGATCTTATGATCGTCTTTTGAGAATGAGTTGAAGGTAACTTGACATATGCGATTTAATCCAATAAATCATTTAATAGTTAATATAAGAGCATGATACAACTAGAATGATCCAAATGATGTTTATATATTATATAAATTATGTTCAAATGACAAAACTAAACCTTTATTAAAATTATTTAGTTTTTAAAATAGTAACTTTTGATCTCAATTTTACTCAAATCACTAAATAAAGTTTCAAGGATTCATGTATTCTCGTATAAGTAACCTCAAATAAATATATATATATATATATATATATATATATATATATATATATATATATATTCAATGAAATTGAAAATTTATTATGCCAAAAAGTACAAATATTTTTTCATTAATTATAAACAAAATATACTATACACCCATAATGTAAACAGTTTTACTGTTGTTCAATTGCAAATTATTATGTATGATAAATTTATTAACTTGGATAATGATAATTTTTAAAATTAACTAATTATAGTGAAAATGTACGTGTCTTTAAAATTTTTATTAAATATATCATATTATACTTCTCCGTAAAATTCTCTCTCTCTCTCTCTCTCTCTCTCTCTCTATATATATATATATATATATATATATATATATATATATATATATATATATATAAACATTGCTGTTTTTAACACCACCACTCCAACTTGTTTATTTTCTAATAAAGTGTGATCTGAGTTATTTTCATTTATGAATATCAACAAATTATTTTTTCATAATTTGAATTTTACTTGATATATAAAATAAGTTAAATATTTCTGATTTAATCTCTTTTTGATGTTGGATAAAATTCTTCGATGGATATTAATATGATTGCTTATATATATATATATATATAAAACAAGATCAAGTCAACCCGTTTATTAATTTAATATATTAATTATAACATTTAAGTTAATATATATTTTATAATATACTTTTCAAAATAAATATGAATAGAAATGGTATCTTATTACTTAGTATAAGTTATGAAGTTATTTGAACAACAGCCCCCTTAAAATATAGTAGTATTACATAGAAGAATATGTTTATAGATTTTTTTAATGGCTCATTTAATTTTTTTGTCATTAACCTCAATGTGTTATTCACGCCAATGTTTAACGAAAATATTAAATAAATATTCTTAAAAAAATTATATGAGGATTAAAACCAAGGCATGTATATCATAAGGACAAAAAACACCTCAATAACTGAATAAATAAAAACACGTCTAACATGTCTGCATTTTATATTATTAAACTTTTACATAATATTTGATTTTATTTTTGTTTGCCAGTAATGCAGGGGTATTAGTTTGGTTAAGTAGCTGAGAATGGTTGTATCAATTGATAGTTATTTATTCAAAGCAATGGGCTACTTTCGAAAAAGTTAGCTGGCCTGAGCTCAAATTCACCATGAATTGCTGGCATTGCAGCAAAATCTTCCTGACAAGGAACATGATGGATCCCAATTGTGTGCCATAGCACTATGTCCGTATTTTCAATCTCCCTGTTCCTGTATCAGCCATGATCCACAAGCTCAAATTTAATTTTATAATGTAGTTCAAATCTATGAAGGTATATAAAGTTTTCTCCAGTTACCTCTGGCTCCAAACGGCTAAGCCATCATCTCCACGGCTCCTATCTGCATAGAACCCTCCAGCCCATCTCTCCGACCTGTTATAGGGAGTCACCCACAACCCATACTTAGTGTAAGACGCTCTTTGTTGTGGATAATCGTCATCAGACAATAGAGAAGTAACTGGCTGCGCACTGATCAGCCGGTAACCCACTTCATTCCCTAGCTTTGTCTTTTTGTTGGGGTTCACTATTAACAGCTCAGCTGGCTCCAAGCCCAGCCGAATTCTACCCTCGGCTTCCCTCTTGGCAATTTCTCTTACCACTGTCCAGTAACTCTTCCTTGGTGTTCCAAACCCAGTTGCTCTTGCCCTTTGCAACTTACCATTGATGAAAGTGTTTCTGCTATCATCAATGTCAAGGTCTAGATAGTAGGTTATGTGGTGATCATGGTAGTTGGCTATAGTGTTTTCCGCCACCAATGTTCCGAACACCCTTTCTTCTATCTCACTTTTCTCTGTATAGGCTACTGCTTTCATCTCCATTATGCCTGTCAGATCCACCTATGCATGTAACACACTCAACTACTTCAATACAACTAGAATTAAATGCTTTTTGTTTTAACTTTTAATCTTGTTAACTATCCCGAAGAATAGCCATATATAATTTTCTGAAATAAAATAATCTGAGTTTTATAACATAACAATCTTGTTAGAGCCAAAATAATATAATTGCTGTTTAAATACAACACCGATGATAATTTTCCAATTTCCCATGTTTATGCTCTATGGGCAGATGTTTTAGGAAATTTTTTTTGTAAAACTGACTAATCCACAATCGGACCAAAATTGTAGAAGAATTTTACCCCAACTTTTATACTGCCACTTCTTAAGAATTCCCAGTCAAGAACATAATCATAGTTACCCACAGTAGCAACCATTCTGACTACCAAAGTAATTTCAGGTTCTCCATTTCTTATCTTCACAAAAGCAAAACAAAGTGGGTTCACATCAAACCAGTACAAATTCCAAACAATATCAACCAAAGCTTCAACAACATATAGTCTACCAACCTACCATTCTCTGAGGGTTGTTGACTTCCATGTGCCTCCAAGCCACATTGCCAGAATTCCTCTCAAAAATGCAAATAGCCCTGGGAACCTGTTGCACCTCTCCATTAGACCCTGTCATGTAACCATCCATGTACACTGCATTGCTCGGGCAATCTACCCCCGGTTGCAAGGTATCCGCTGCACGTCCAAAGCCATATTCTCCAGCATCCATGAAAGTCCTGAAATACCATTCCTCTGTAGGATCCATGTAAGGAACAAATGTCTCAGATACATGACCCCTATATAGCACTCTTCTATATTCGTTTCTTTTGGTATCAAATATAGAAGCAGTGGATATGATTGTTCCCGCCCGAGCATTGAACCCAACATGAAAAACCCAATTAGCCCATTTGACCTCATGGCCCTTGATGGTGAACCCAATATCTGACACGTTACATGAAGCAGATGTTTTGGGCCTGCTGTTGCTGCTTGAAGATTGAAAGTCTGTACCTTCAGCTTTAGGCAAAGGAGCAATGTACCTGTCATTGTACCTAGTAATCTGCATTGAATCAACATCAACTAGCACTGTGATTCCCTCAATAGGTCTTGCCCATACATTAACTGATCCTCCTCTATAGAAGCATGACACTTTGAGGGCTCTCCTTGTGATTTGTTCTCCAAACCAACCTACGGTAAACGGTACACAAGAAACTTCAGACAAGTTCAAGCCCCTTTTGGTTATTGACTCCTTGAATTTGGAGTACGTAAGAGGCAATTTACTGGCTTGAAAAAGCTCATTGAATGTGTAAGGAGGGTATCCATGACCAGTGTAGATTTTATCCGATACAATGGATCCTTTGGTTAAGTCCACTACAAGCTCGTGTGTCTCACCCTTGGCTCGCACAACTACCTTGGCCTGTCGAGGAATGGTAGACGTGTCTTCTGTATTTGAAGATAACCACTCTAGGACATGTTTTTTGTCTGGTTCTTCCACATCCACGAAATGATAGGTCAGGTTAGGAACAGCACCAAGGTAAAACTCTTGAACTATGTCCCTTGTTTGGTTGATTTCACCAGGGGAAAGAGGGTCTAAAGGGTGAGACAAACTATAAATGGAGTTGAATCTCAGAAAAAGAACTACAATTAGACATTTAACAATCATGGGAACTGCTTTATCAAACCTTGATCTGATCATGTTTTCCACAACACTGTACGCGTTGGGGTATAAATATGTATGATCTATTTTGAAAAGTTTTATTCTTTATATTGAAGTATTGAATTATTAAAATGACATTTATTACTAACATGGATATTCATTAAAAAACATTTAATTCTAATTTGAAAAGATATTCTTCGTAAATAACAATTTAGATATAAAAGTAATTTTCATATAAATATTAAAGGTATGGATTCACATTTTAAAAGTTTATTAATTAACATTAATTTTTTTTGTTAGATTTTAAAAGATCATACAGATATTGTGAGAGTTTCTTTTTTTTTAAGACTTTTATGATAAATATTTTGTAATTAGGAATGGATTTAAATGGTAAGAATTTTTTTTTTTAAATTTAATAAATTTATCATATTTGAAAGAAACCTCGTTGACCTTTAGAAAACATCCAAAATTACAAGAGTAGATGAGAAAAAAGAAACAAAAGTTAAATAAGAAAAGTAAAATCAATATTATTTTTTCATTCTTATAATAACTAATTGTTTTAATTTTATGTCTTTGGTTATTTTATATCCTTTGTTTAGTAATTACTATTAGAAATTCTTATATTTCATAAAAATATTTTTATAATTTTTTATAAAAATTGTAAAAAAAATAAGGTTGCTACAAATTTAAATAATTGTGTACAATAAAATTAAAAAAAAAAACTTTTTTTTACTAGTGAATATTATAAATAAATATTTGATTCAAATTTTAAGTTGGTTATCTTTTCAAAGAAAATCATAAAGTATGATATGTTTTTACTTTCAATTAACAGGTCATGGATTTAGTGTGGTGGAAGAAAGAAAAGTCTCACAACTAATTGAAAAATAATTTAAGGAAGCCTAAATAGTTGGGGTGAGATGATTTGATGAATATAATATTTGTACATTACGTTAATAAAAAATCATGTAAAATTCATAAAATCTTTCTAAAAAGTTCATTCCTTAATGTCAATATAGTTTTGAGTATTAATGGATTTTTTATAAGATCTAAAATATCTAATTAATTGAATATTATTAGATTTCATCATCTTTTAAAAATATTCCTTTAGTTTTAAAATTTTCGTTATCTAATAATAATGGAAATGAAGACCCCTCTATTGGTTTATTTTTTAAATTCGTTATAATGATATTCTTTGCAAAAAAAGAAAAAATTGTCGAGTATTGCAGATGAATGTTTTTACCTCCTTTGTGATGGTAAAAAGAATAGTCTCACAACCCATAGAAAAAAAGGATTTAATTAGGAGAGTTTGTTTGATAAAATATAGTATTTATATATCATTAAAAAAAAGTCTCATAAAATTTATTGGAATTAATATACTTTTGAATATTCATAACATTTTTATAAATTAAACAAATAATCATAATTAAATATCACCCAATTGTATTGTCTTAAAAAATCTTTATCCTACGAACAATACAAAACATGCTATATTTTTTAAAAGTTTAAATTAAATATCGTATAAAAATATTGTAAAATCTTTTGAAATTCAAACTCAACACACTATCCTCGATGAAAAATGTGGAACTTTCTATTGAACAAACAACACTGAAAACTTGAGTTTCACAAATGAAATTAATTTAATAGATATAAATATTTATATAAACAAGTACAAATTATCTATAATAATAAGCAGTTGCTATATATATATATATGATAATGGACATTTGTTTTTTTCACACTCCATTCTTTATTCACAAAATTAATTCATATTTTCTTTTGGTTCACAGGAGAGGGGTGAGATTATGGTCATGTAAATACCATCGTTATTCATCAAACCCAGGTTACACACAAAGCTTGACATGATAATGGAGAATTATATATGTTGAAAGAAAAGTGTTTATCGACACCTTAAATATTGTGTACATTTTCTTTATATTAATTTATTTTATTGGATGTTTGAAAAGATCTTTCCACCAATAACATGGTGGGATTCCATTAGTTTTAAAGAAGTGTTTATAATTTTGTTTACAAACAATTTTATCATAGATAAAAATTTATGAATGTATTTTAGATATGATTTCATAAATATTAATAATTTTTTTATTATAAATTAACATTTGTGAATATATATTCTAGATAAATATTAATGAATTTTAATGAATAATAAAAAATATATTGTAAAGAATGTGTTTGAAGAATCTGTTTGTTGGCATTTGTGTTGCATCCAAAATAAACAATTCAGTAAACTTCGTAAATGAAACATCATGTTTAGCTTAGATAATATAATAGTCTGGACATGCTTTAAATTAAGGTTATTGATTTAATTTGCATCATCAAAGAAAATAAAAGAATATGTTATTTCCTTGCGTTCACAGCAAGAATAATTGATTAATTTGATTGCTTTACTTCTACGGTGAAACAAAAGAATATGAGATCATTTGCGTGCTTATCTTTGATGACATGTATTGATTCGTCTTTCAGGATGAACCCTAACTTTTAAGATTTATTCATAACTCTCTTTTGATTTCATTTTCCCATTTTGTTTTAATGTTACTATATATCGATCTTTGGAAAACGAGTTAGTATTAATTTATTACTTTTTTTTTTTTTTGCTTATTTTCAACAAATTTCTAATCTCTCTTTTCATACACTATTTATCACCTTTATTATTATCTTGGAAATAGCAATTATTTGCTTTCATTGGTAAGAAAATATGTAGGAAAGCTGTATATTATGCTCCATTGTTCAATTATTTTAATCCCCGTATCGATATCATTCCATCAATGTTAGTTAAATTGATTCACATCTTACTCACCCTATTTATTTATAAGACTAAATATTCAGTTGACTTTACAAAGATATAATACAATTCAACGTGTTTCTTTGAAAATTTTAAAGCAATTATTTTATATACACAATACATTCCTATAATACTTTATAATTTTTTTTATTGTTTTCCAATCTTATTTTAATAGTCGATCGGTTTATTTTATTCAAATCATTAACTAAATTCGAACATAAAATTTTATCTAAAAAAACATAATACTACCTAAATCAACTACCAACAACGTTTTAGGATGTGGTTTATTTTATTTCTCTCTTCTAATTCTTTTATATATATATATATATATATATATATATATATATATATATATATATATATGTATAGAAAAATTAGATAAACACAATTATTTCTAATATAAATAATTTTTTATTAGATATAATTAATAAAATTACATAATTAATAACTAATACTTATGTGGGTTATTAAATTTATTTAAAATTTAGTACATAATAGATTTTAAAATCGTTTTTATTTAATGTTTATATTTAATATAATCTAATATGTTTAGAGTAAATTTTAAAAATAGTAAATAACTATAAAAGTAAATTGTTAAAAAATAAATATGTAAATAAATTAAATGGTAGAAAATAAATCTAACTAATTACTAATAATAAAACAAAAATTAATAAAAAAATTAATTAAAATTACTGTTATAAAATACTCTATTAAAAAATGTTTATTCTTAGTTTATAATATTTTTTTATAATATAAGTCTTTTCGTATAATTTTACAGTCACTTCTATTATATTTATTTTATTATATATATTTATAATATAATCATTAAGATGACATAAAATAATAAAAAAATAAAAATAAAATTATTAACTACAATTTTTTGAATGATCATTTTCTTATAAATATTTATTTTATTATATATATTTTTAATATAATCATTAAGATACATAAAATAAAATAAAATAATAAAAATATAAAAATAAAATTATTAACTACAATTTTTTGAATGATCATTTTCTTATAAATAGACGTTAATCATTAATTTTTAAGAAATGAAATAATATATTATTAATAAATATAAAAGATGAAAAGATAAAATTATAAATATAAAAATAAATATATTAAATAATTATTAAAATTAAAAAATAAAAATAATAAATTACATAAAAATTATAGAAAATAAAAATAAATATATAATTAAATATATTAAATAATAAATTTTAAAATTAAAATCATAAATGATATCAAAGGTATATTGCTTTAAAAGTTCATGAGCTTCCCCATCAATTCCAAAAACATCACCTACTTCTCTTTTCTCGGTATATGTGTAATATTAAAAAATTGAATTATAATGAATTATAAGCATCTCTATTTTTTTAATTCCCCGTTCTTTATTGTTGGTGATCTGAATTCTCTGTTATTTTCAATTATCTTAATTAATAACATCTATGACTTTTCTATTATGTAATATACCTTTATTCCTACATTTGTTTCTTCCAAATAGGCATGGGTAACGGGTGGGGCAAATTTTAACTCCGATATCTCTTCCCGACTCTTTTTAATCATACTCGTCTCCGCTTCCGATTCCCGATTCCTGTTGTGGTTAAAAATTAAGTCTTCATATCCGTTTCGTTGAGTTTCAGGTTTCTTGCCCCATCCCGTCCCCATTTATATTATTTTTAAAAGATAATTACATTTATAGTAAATTAATTTTATAATATATTTTTATATATAAATAAATATTTATAATTTATAATTATTATTAATTAAATATACATTTTAATTTATTATATTTATATTAAAATATATGTAAAAAAATATTTAATTATTTTTTATTTATATATAGAGAGAATATTTATAATAATAATAATAATATTATTATACTATTCAAATATTTGAATACTTATAACATTATTATTATAATATTGTATTCAAACATTTAATTATATATATAAGTTAATTTATTTTTAAGTTGTCATTTAAAAATATAAAATATATAATTTATAAGAAAATATTTAATAAGTTAATTCTTATTTAATTAGTTCGAAGTAATAAAAATTTAAATTGTCAATTTCTTTTAATCTTTTAAAATACAATTATTTTATTAAGATAAAATTTGATATATGATAAATAAGAATAATAAGAACAAAAAATATGACATAATAAAACCTAATAAATATAAATTATAAATAAAATAATATTAGTTACTACTAGGATTTATGTAAAATATTTAAAAAAAGATAAAAAAGAAAAAAAATTACTTTGTGTTCATCAAATGGATTGAAAAGATTAAAAAAATAAATAAATTGATGGGAGAAATTAAGGAAATGAAAAAAACAGAAAGGTAAGAGAGAATAATGTAATAAATTAATTGATATAAAAGATTAAAAAAGACAAAAAAATTAAAAGTGGATAGAAGAAAAATAAAAATTGGTGAAATATTAAAAAAATAACCTTATATATAATAAAAAAAAAAGAAAAAGAAAATACATTTAAAGTATTAATATTTTTAATTTTAAATTTAAATATAAAGTCGAGACATATACGAGATTGGGGTCGAGGTGGAGATCGCATTACCCATCCCCGTCTCCAACTTTTTAAAGCGGAGAAAATCCAAACCCCCTCCTCCCGATCAACTCGAATTTTTCCCATGATGAAGGGAGTACAGACCTGTCCCGACAATTACGGGTTTAGTTGTAATCTCAACTTCAAAGTATGAAATACCTCTTCTCTATATTTATTCTTTCCATCTATTTATAATTTTTTTTTACTTAACAAATTCATAACTGCATGAAAGTTGAGACGAAGTAAATGTTTGAAAGTAAGTTGATGATCTCTCTTTACTATTTCAAAATTTTAATTAATTGAATAGAAGAGTTGTTACCAAAATCATTGACATGAAATAAAAAAAAATGAAATTCTTAGGAAAATGCTCTTTACATGATTATGATACCAGATTCTGACATATGGTTACAGGTGGATATCACATCATCACAGAATGCCCGACATCTCGGTTGTAGTCAAGTCGGCAAGTTTCAAACTTCAAACTTTGACTTCTAACCTGCCAAAACCTTTTAATGATACAATTTTCAATTAGAATCTGTCAAAAACCATTTCTTTCTCCTTTCTCAACAAAACAGAGGAGAGAAGAAGGAAACGAACAAGTCACAGAAAAATGGGGCTTTTGATGACGGGCTTTTATTATATGATAAACCCTTTTTTTCAATGTAATTTTTAATTGCATTACTCACGATTATTTAGTACTCTAATGAATTGGTCAAAAAGCCACCATTAATGTTTGACACCATTGTGTTATCAGATATGTCTTTCACTGGTTTTCTTTGAAGCAAGACATTCTAAAACAAGCATTTCACACAATGTAGACCATATTCAAAGATAATAAAAATCCATTTGCACGTTTGACATCGTTTTATACATACACAACACCGGATTAACCTTAAAGCAAATGAAAGAGTAAAATTACAAAATCAAACAAAAACGAAAGAGTATTAATGAACAGCAACCGCTACATTGTAAATATGGTTTTGGTAAATGTAACAATAATAAGATATCAAATTTAGACATTTTTCTAAGTAAGATAATATATTTTAACCTTTTGAACAAAGAAACACGCCATTGAAAGTAATAGGTTTATCGATATAAATTAGTTATTGATAAAATTGATGATATCTCTCGTCAATGTTACAGTAACTAAAAGTTAATTAAATAATTAAACAAAGGCAACATTAGGGCAGTTTATGTGTGTGTCTGTAGACTGTGGGCCAGCCCAACCAAAATCTGCATAGAATCTATTCTGATAGTTGGGCCTAAAATAAGAATTAAAACTCATAAGATGAGGCCATGCTAAGTGTTATAGAGTTAAGTTTAGGTCGAAAGCACATAATCTTAAGAGTTATATTATTCTTACATATGAAAAAAAAAATGTTATTAGATATTTTATTTAATAATAAATTGTTAATTGATCCATGGTATGATTCGGGCAATGTATTTGTTAATTGTAAAAGAAAATGTAGAAAAGCAATATACAAATGGAATAGTGGGAGTGGCAGTGGGGAAGGACAGAGAGAGTGCAGAGAATAGTGGACAAAGACGCAGAATCTCGGGCTAAACTACAAAGAGCAGATTAGGGAGATGTGAAAGGTTAAAGTGTAGTGTTGCGTTGTGACCAAAAACACCCCATTTTGCTAACATCATCTTACTTCGAGTAACAGAAACCTTGATACCTAAACGACACTTGCTAACGGACAACCAACTCCAATCCCCAATATACGACACCGTATCTATTCATTTTCCTTCCACTTCTCCCTTCTCGCATCCCATTTCCCAATACATCACTTCTTCATTATTCTACCGACCTTTTCTTTCCTATACTTTCTTCTTTTAACATACAAGCCTGTTTTTTAAGATAAAATTATCGTGAACTGTTAGTTTATCAAAATTCGAATGAAGTAAGAAACTTATTTAGGTTAAAATACTTCAAGAATGTTTTTCCAAAGACCCCATCTCTTGTATTGTTCCTTTAGGGTCTAGCTAGGTCGTAGCCCTTCTCCCATTAACACCTGCATGCATTAAATGCTCCATGCCAGCCTCTTTATCAACTCAATCCATCACCTTTTTCTGCTTTGCTCCATCACTCACCACCACTCATATGCTGCAACTGGAAGCTGTAATCAACCTCACTCACCACATTACTCATTCAACCCAGTTTTGACTTCTCAGTTACACACCCAAACCCGACACACATTCCTACCAACTCTCATCCTACTACGTACAACCCAACTCAACACTCGTATATAAACTATAATTGCAAAACGCCAACAAAACATAAACCACCACATCACTACCGTACACCATCATCAAACTTTTCAAACTCCTTCCTCCTTTTATTCATTATAAACAAACAAAGTCCAACCCAAGTTTCTACGAAAAAAGATTCCATTCATAAACCCTCGATATAAAAAACTCCACAACAAAATTCTACCGACTAATAAAAAAAAATTACAAGCATCAACCTTGTGTTTTCACTTTCAACGCTTTCCCATTCCTCCTCTACTTGTGTTCATTCCATTACCATTAATCTTACAATTTCCCACCAACGTGCACTTCAGTGTTCGCCGTTTCGACCACGCTACCTTCTTCCCAAGCAATTACCTCTTCCAAAACGCCTCTAAAAATAAACATGTATGCTGCACGCAGTTTCATACCCCGCCTTCAACGTCGTCGTTTTTTATTCTTTTAATTAATCTCTCTCTAAACTCTAAATTCTAACCTGGGTAGAAACACCGAGTGTAGATTCTTGACATTCAATGCAACTAACCGCACGAGGGAACTTGAAAATTGAAATTGAGGATCAAAAATCGAATCAATATGTCTACTTCATTGTAGTAATAATAGTAATTAATACATTGAAATATACTAATACTATGTACTGAGGTGAAGGAAAGATGGCAGTGGTAAATTAGAGGCGTTGATTGCGGTGTAGTGGTATTTCGATTTAGATTTCAGAATTAAAATATTAGAAACGCTGAGAAACGGAAACGTGACGTCTTCTCGTGTGAGGGGAAACAATGGAGATGAGGCCACCCAGTGGGGGCCGCATCTTTGACCTATAAACCATTTCGTCGTACGGTCTTCTGTAGAACTTCACGTATGGCAAGAACGCTTCACGGCACCTCTCTCCCTTCACGCTCACGTGGCTCTCTCGCCGGAAAAACGTCGCCGGAGACTGCAGAAACGAGGTCCGCGGCGGCGCCGTCACGCGCTGCGGAAGCGGGGTCGAGGGGAAGAGGCCCTTCCTCGTGGCCGGGGGACCGCGGGGGGTCCTCGCGACGGGCGACGCGAACGAGAGCGAGCGCGCGTTCAGCGGCGAGATCAGTGCGGACGAGGGATTCGTGGGTCCCACTTTCGATGCTGACGTGTCGGTCAGGCTCAGGTACCAGGGCTTCAAGGAGTCCAGATTCTGTGACACGGTGAAGGAGAAGCGCGACGAGGAGCACGAGCCTATCTTTGCCGTTGATTTCACGCTCGAGGTATCGAATCGGAGGGAGGAGGCTCGCGGGTACGCCGCGAAGTCGTTGAAGTCCAACGATTCTTCGAAATCCAACGATGACACCACCGTCGTCCACGATGATAGCTCCACGAACGGCCTAACACCCTGCAGTCCAGTGCAGCCAACGTGAATACAACACAGACGATAATTGCTATTGTGTGATTTAATTATTACAATTAATTTGAATTATATTAAATGGGTAGGGTACAAAACTTGAAATAAGTGGCATGCGTCTTTTTCAATCGTTGCCAAAACAATGTATAGTGTTCCCTCGTATCCTATGAATCTAACCGAGACAACTAAAATAGGTTTGGGTTTTCAATTTCAATACGATATGACACGTACTTGAGCTATTGCTATTATGCTGTATTGTTACATTTGAATTTATGATAATTTTGAAGAGTGAGGGAAAGTGGGTACTTTTTGTGCATGGGGTACATTTTTAATTTAGTTATAAGGACTTGGTTTGGATATGGTATGGCATGGTAGTGGGTGGACCACCAAAATATCAGGGGAAGTGGTCCATGCATTGGTAGTGGTCAAACAAAGTAGAACGTGCTTGATCTGAAGGTATGATGATGCCAGAAAGGGTGCATTATATACCCAACACACACATCAGAAGGAGACCAAACTAAAATGTAGTGGAACAGTGTTGGAGTTTAACTGGCACTTGGTAAACAGTACATGGTAGACTACCAAAATTAGGTACGTAAAGATTTTGAATTGTGGTTACCTTCCACAAGTAAGCGAAAAGCGAGGGAGGGTCTATGACAAAGGCTTTGCATAGCCTTCCTGGGTAGTACTCCGCCACAATTTTCAGTGCTGCTAGCAATTGGTTCATGAAAGCAGATGCTGATCTGTAAAAGCCTGCAACAACCAAGTAAACAACCCTCTGTTATTTTACATATTTCCCAAATTTGTTGAATCTTGAGATTAGCTCACGGTTAACTTGTTTAATTGAGTTAAAAAATTAGATGATAGTTTATTGTAAAATTGTTGGGGTGAGTAAAAAAGGTAAAGGGGTACTGGCAAAAGCTAAAAAGGAGAATCATGGGTTGTTCCTCTGATGCCTTGTGATACTGCAATGGCATAATTTAAGGAAGCATTAAAGATTGAAATGGACCAATTCGGGTAGAGAATATCAATTATTACTCCAATTCCCAATAATACCCTTTCTAACATGGCCATTAAATGGAGTCTAGAGTCTGAGACACCCCAGGGGCACTCCGGACACTTTCTGTGTGCCCCTCAGGCCCTGCCGGTGATCCCAACAGAGTTCCATAGCATCCCTGCCCTCTCATTTATTGTTCTGATCCCTCAATCTTTTCTGTTCACCTCTGATTTCCTTTCACCCTTTTACTTCTTTTCTTGGTTTATCAATAATTGTTTCAAAATGGCATTATGGAAATTTGGCTAATGCAAGCATGTGCACTTACTTGCGTCAAAAAGCATCACAAATTGTTCTACGTTTTTTGGCATGGTCGAAATCGCCACCTCCATTGTAAAGGCCAGCAAACGACTGAACCTTCACGATTTCAAAAAAGAATATGATTAAATAAATAAACAACAATAGCATGAGCTTCTTTAGTTGATTCTGCTATAATAATCAATACTTACATTTTCTGCGAATGTAATTTTTGATAGTCTTGCTTCAAACGAAAAATCTGTAATCACCCAATTCAAATCACAAATTTTATTTCAAGTAACAAAATAAAATAATATTAAAAACAAGACACAAAACTCAAAGTCAGAAATGAAGAGAAGGTAATGAAATTACCATAACAGGTCTGGATTCGTCATCATGACCAGCCACATAGGCCAACCCATCAGCCAGTTCTGCTGAGAAATCGTCTGCTATCAAGTGATCTGTTTTCAAAAATCCCATCAATGAAAAACAGTATTTACATTCAAAGTTACAACAAATATAAAATAAAATAAAAAACAAAAATTTAATAAAATACAAGTACCAGTGGTACTCATTTTTTTGTGTTATTTGGAGGTATATATGGTGAGGAAAGAAAAAGAGAGTGACCTAATGATTACTATAGAGTGGGGTGCGTTTCACTTTAACGTTTATTTGGTTCAAAGGAAGGGAAAAGCAAGATTCTTTGGCGAGAGAAAACAAAAAGAGAAGTCGGCTTGTTTTCACAACGGAAAAAGCATTTGCAAGAAAAAGGAATTAAAGGAGATGATGAAGTGGGGAAGAAGCTAGAAGGAGAAAGAAGAAAAAAGAAAGAACTTGGTGTGGAATATACCAGTGATGACACTCTCTCTCCAAGCAAGACAAGCCTTGAGTTGCTTCGAAGCTTTTTTCACACTATCCCCTTTTGCTTTCAGAAACCGTTTCACACAAGCATAGTTGCAAAACTTCTCCTACACAACAACAAAATTAACCACGATTTAAGTTACCCTCTAATCATGTCAAGCAACTAAACCTATGAGTGAGTACTGAGAAAGTAGAGGAAGTTAAAAACCTGCTTCACGGTGAGAGGGGTTTGTTTTCTGAGAAGCTCAAGAACAGCTTCAACTTTGGCTGTATCCTTATGATCTCTCAGCTCTGTTTTCTTCCCCATTTCGAGAAACACTAACTTAGAAACGTGACGAGTTTGCAATAATTACCAAATCTCCGAGAAGGTAGCAAGGTAGGGAGTAGAGAACACAACACAACACAACGACTATTATTCCAAACTTCTGCTTCACGCAACCATTAATATAAAGCAGAGGGCAGGGTTCTTGTCGCTGATCTCAGAGAAGAGAGAGAGAGAGAGAGTGAGAACGTTGAATTGAATGAATGTAATGTGATGAAGGAAGTTGGAGGCTTTATTTATAGCGAAACGACGGCAAATAACGCCGTTACGGAGGAAGGGGGGGAAAACATTAAACACTTATACGAGAAAGGCTTTTTGAAAACGTCAACACTTGTGTTTGTTACCCTTAAGAGTCCACAGTGTTTTTTTGAGTCAATGTCCCAAAATGGGTCCCCACTCAACATCGCAATGATCCCCCGACAAGGATTCGTAACGGAAAACGCCGACTTTGCGTTCTTAAACTAGTTTCAATTTTGTTAATAGGAAATAAATAAAAGAAAACGATGGGGAGAGAAAAAAAATAAAATACATTGTCTGGTGGATCTAAATTATTGATAAAAAATATTATTTTATTTGTCATTAATAATTTTATTTTATTATTTTTGATTAAATATTATTATAATATAAAAATACTCATAATCAATTATGAATATGAAAAACAATTATTTGAAGTGAAAATTTGAGTAATATTACTTATATCTGAACTTTTCTCACCTTCATTTTCCTTTTTCTCATTTATTTTGTTTACATTCCATTCAATCAAAAGACTATTCCACTCTCAATTTCTTTACTCATTCATCTTTCCCGTTTTATTCCTCCTTTTCTCTTTTCAACCTCTAAATCAAAACCATTTCCGTGCTTTAATTTTTTTCTTTTTTTAGTAGGATGTGTGCAAAAGTTGGTAGTGTAATTTCACAACAAAGAAGTGTCTAATAAGGAGAAAGGTAAAACTGGCTAAGAAGCCCATTAAATGATTCTTGACGACATACGAGACAAATATAAAGAATTTGAAAATAGATAGTCACTAAAAAAAAGCCTATTACCTTCGGATACAAATCCGTAGGTAATGTCATCCGTGGGTAATTTCATAGGTAATTACCTACAGAATTATTATCCAGTAGGTAAATTATATTAAACTAAAAGAATTGTCACTAGCAGAGAATCGAATCTAGTACCTTACAGTTGAAAACCGATACTCCAACCATATTAGGATATTCTACTAATAATTTACAACTAAATTATACTTATATTTATTCGTATAAATATATAAATATATAAATACATAAATACATAAATACATAAATAGATAAATATATAAATACATAAATATATAAATACATAAATACATAAATACATAAATACATAAATATATAAATATATAAATATATAAATATATAAATATATAAATATATAAATATATAAATATATAAATATATAAATATATAAATATAAATATATAAATATAAATATATAAATACAAATATATAAATATATAAATATATTTTATATTTATATATTTTATATTTATATATTTACACTGGATAAATATAAATATATTTTATTTGTAAATTATTATCAAAATATCCTAATAGCTTAGTGGTTGGAGTATCAGCCTCCAATTCAGAGTACTGGGTTCGAATCTTGCCAATGACAATTCCCTTAATCTAATAATAATTCAAAGTTCGAAAATATAATATAAAGGGGAGGGTCCTAGGTAATAATAAAAAATAAGGGAGGGTATATATATATATATATATATATTAATTACAATTACAGACATTAGGGGCAAACATTATCACTACAACTTACATTTCTAGTTTTTTTTTTCTATGACTTTTAGTAAAACTAGTTCAAACGGAAAAGTTATAGTTAAATTTGAAAGGAATACTTGCTAGTAATTGAAGATGGTTAGGTTAGCTTCCTAGATATAAGCGTTTAATGAAATAAAAAAATATATGCCGAAGTGGGTGGTAAATATAAAATGACAAAAAATTGACATTTTTTTAACGTAAAATATGTATATATATTGATTTGCTTATAATTTAGTTTTTTAATTCATTTTAAGAGTTTGTATTTTAGTTATAAATCAATTGTTGAAATTATATTAATTAGTATTAATTATTATAATTTTATATTTAATATTCTCTTGTTAATCTTGTATAATAAATATCTTAAAATATTTCTACTTAAGTTTTGAATCGAAGCATGTCAAACCACTTAACCAATCAAAATAATGTGCAAAATGTGCTCTAGGACAAACATATATGGGACGCAAAATGTTTAATAATTACTAAAATTTTTACAATCCAGACATATCAAACTGAAGATTGTAACACAATTTTTTTTAACAAACTTAAAAAAATAAATAAAAAGATAGACTTTTTTTTTTCAAGAATCAAATAATTTCTAAAATCTTAGTGTTTCCTATTCACCAACATCGATGTATTTATGGATTTTGGCTTGATTCTACAAATCATTTTCTCAAGTCTATATGAGTAAGTTTAATCACTTTTGATTATGGAAATTGATTTTTTGTTGGATTTATTTATAGTTGATTGTATAAAAATTATATCATAGAAAAGCAGTAAGAACATAATATGAGAGTTATAAATTAAGATTCATCACGTCGACTATATATAAGAGGGGTCCACCAATTACGTAACTATTGAACATAACGTAGGAAAATAATAAGTATAATAAGGTAAGAATCATAACAATTGCACAATGTACAAGCATTAAACAGTGTCTGTTTCACCACACCATTATGCAGATTGATCCAAATAAAAAATAATGGTTAATTTTTGTGTGTTATTATATATTTATGGTGTGTCCTTGGAACCTGGTTGGGTTAGGAAATTATGATAGCAGAGGCAGATGCATATATTCCTTTACTCATGTAGCAGCTGGCGGCAAAGTGACATTGAATTTTCATAGTGTGACAGTTCAATAATGAGGTGTGAGACCGGAAGTGTGATGTATGCAGTGCAGGTAGGAAGGGAAAGGGAAAGGCTGCAGTGATGGATTAGGCTGAATAGGAGAGTGACTGTGCGGGAGAGTAATTACTCCAACAAGTACGTGATCATTTTTTGGGAAAATGGGATCATGAGAAATTGTAAGTGTAACTCAGTATGAGGCCAAAACAATACCCAGGCACGTGAACGGATATTGCGGGATAAGTAGAAGTATGATTACTTACCATCTATATGTTACAGAGAGAAGAGTGGATGATTTTGTTTGTAGTAAGTAACTGCTTACTCATTCAAATAATGGAGCTACTACAATACAATCATCTTTCCCTTATCTATGCCTATCTACCTATCAGATATAGGTATAGCTTCCTTGTGATTTTGTGAACTGTGGTGTGTTTCCTTTGCGTGTCTGGAATCAAGACTATAGAACTAGTGTATAGTCTTGTTCTTTGCTTAGAAGTGGAAAATGGTGAATCCCACTTTTTCTGCTCCCAGATTGTTCTTACTGCATTGGGGTTAAAGGGAATATTCATTTACCATCTTCACTCTCTGTTTAGATTTGATGGGAGATTCTCCTCTTCTTTTAACTTCTTCGTACCACGTTGGTAACTCTTTTCTACCACTTTTATTTTTTTCTCTCTGCATGCACTCAATTCTGGATGCTCATATATGAATCATTGGATATATGCTACATATGTCCATTGTTTCTTCAATGATTATTCTCGAATATAAGAATCTTTAAGTTTGTTTCCTTCGATTCGTTACTGGTTGAGGTATCATGCATGCATCAGCAATGAACTATAAAACATCAAATCAGTATTTTTCTATAATTTCTACCATTAAAGAAATTCCACCCATGCCATTTGTTTAATATAAGCTATCACACCCACATGTTTTATTTAAATTGATTCTCTTTTGATTGGTATGTAAAGACACAAGCATTATTTTTAATTATTAAGTGATATCAATCTGCACCTTCAAAAACAAGATCATGATAAGCCACTCTTTTAAAACCCTAAAATAAAATATTTTGTCATGATTTGAAGCAGTTGTGTAATGATTAACAAATTTTGCATGGTCATATGTGATAAGCCATGGAGTTATTTGGTTCTCATTAAACCTCATGAAACGCGTAGGTATTTAAATTTGCTTTTTACGTCATGAAAGACAATGAACCAGGAACAAGGGAATTCGTACATCTGGATGCAAAATAATGCATGAAATAAGTAGCTAGCACAGTAAATCGCTCGTCCTCATGCAATCCTTATATTATATATCTCGAACACACACTGTGCTCGAAAGACAAAATGCTTGAGAAGACAGAGTTGGCAGACTCACACGGGGAAAATTGTTCAACACAAAAATTAACTTTGTTCCATAAGTCAAAACCTTGATACTTGTTCTTCCATGCTATTTAAAAACGACTCTTACATAGTAAATGATACACTAAATAAGTCCCATGTTCATAGAAGTTCAAGCTCCGTTGTCCTTACGGCGGTGACCCACCAAAGGGAGAAAAAAATGAAGAGAGAGAAACTGATGCCCAGGACATTCTCTACACGTCAAAATTTTTAAAATGAATATCTACCATTGATTAATCGTTCTTCTCTTAGTTAAATATGTGGGTTTTAATTTATGAATTTTTTATGTAGCCATCAACCTCTGCATTCCTTAATTAATTGCATGTCTAGAAGAACGTAGCCCAATTTCGAAAGCCAAAGTCAATACATATTGAAATAGATTACAGAAATAAAAAAAGGATTAAAGAAAAGAAATAAAAGCATATACTCTCTGTTAACTGAACAAAACAGTGCATTTTGTGGGGTTGAGGAAAGTAAATAAGCAAACTAAAGCGCTGTTTAGGCTGCTAAGTTGGGTTTCCAAGATGAAGTTGTAAGCTTTATCGTTTTAGTTAAATTAATATTCATAAAGGTGGAATTTAGTGTGACATATGTTTCTCTTGTCGTCATTCAAATATTACAGAGATTCTGTTCTCTCTCTTCCTTCTTTTTCAAC